GGATGCCAAGAGACTCATATCCAACTTATTATGCAAAATGCATTTAGTGCATTTAGTTCCAGCGTTGCTGAAAAGTCCAAGTCTAAAATCTTCTCTGAGACTCAAGATAATTCTCAGCAGTGAGACCCTGTGAAAATCAAAAGCAAAGTTAAATACTTCCAATATAGCATAGTACAGGATAAGCATTACCTGTCCAAAAGGGAGGAACAGGTGAATGGAAAGGAATGAGACCAAAGCAAGACTGAAATCCAAAGGAATGGGATCAAAGCAAGACAGAAAATCCAGCAAAGCAAGTAGTAAATCCTGTAGCTCTATGTCCAACACCCAGGGCAGGTTTCTGTGATATGTTAACTTCAAAGGGCATAGGTAGCCCCTCCCCTATGGCCTTGCAGGTTGCCGTCTACATTGCCTCTCTGCCTCTGCTCACTGACCACAGTTTTCCTCAGCAGAATTTCAGTATTCTTGGCATCTCCAACTTCCTGGGGTCTCCACTACTCTTCCAGCTTCACTTTCACAGCTTCATGCTCTCAGGGTCTCTTTGCTTGGCCTTCCAGGTCTTCCTTTGAAATCTGGGTGCAAGCCTCCATGACCCCATAACTTAACTCTTGCATTTTTCGTGCCTGAAAAACCAGCACTATGTGGATGTCACCAAGATCTCCCACCAACTTGAGCAGTAGCCTGACCCTCCTTGGTTCATGGATGCAGAAGCCTCTGATTGCCCGGATGGCTGAGTAAGGTGAAATGAATCCTGGGAAACTAATTCCCTGGGTGGTCCTTTTGAGCAGAGGGCACAGGGGATCTCTTCTCAAATGAAAGCTTTACAGTTTTGCATCCTTGAGCCTGCAAAGGATGGGGTCTGGCCAATTCCTGAGATGCCTTGAAGCCATCTTTACTATTGTATTTATTGGGCTGGGGATTTAGCTCAGTGGTTCTGCTGCCTGCCTTGCAAAAGCAAGGACCTGAGTTTGGTCCCGATACCAAAAAAAAGAAGAAAAAAAAAAAGATTCTATTATTGTATTTATTATTGAAGCAAAGAAGTTGGCTTTTTTAAAATACTAATCTTTTCAGCAAGGACACTGTCCTTTGCCCCAGCTTCACAAGTACTTTCCTTTCTGGTCAAGCTTTATATCATTCAGCTCTACTTTTTGCTCCTCATTCTCACTGTTAATCTGACTGAAAGCAGCCAGCAGTATGCATGTCACAGCCTACATCTTGTCCCTACATTCTGGTAGGATACTTTGAAATTTCCTCCACAAGATTTACTAGTTCACTGCCCTTAATCAGGTTCCCGAAAAGAATCAGGGGTTGGGGAAAATGTAGACAGTTATTTTGCTAGAATGTAACACAACATGGCCTTTAGGCCAACTTCCAATTGAGTCTTTGTTCCCAGTTGAAACCTCCTGTGCCTGGTCTTTACTGTCCACCTTCCTATCAGCATTCTGGTTTTCTGTAGAATTACCGGTATCATACATGAAGCACTATTCAGAACATTCTAGGGCTTCTCTAGCCTGCATCTCCAAACCTTTCCAAGTTCCTCCTGCAAAACAGTTCTAAAAGTTTCTAACCACATGTCAGGTAGCGTCATAGCAACAACTCCACTCTTTGTACCAATTTTCTGTTTATTCAGTTTTCCAGTCACTGGGACAAAATGCCTAACACCCATAACTTAAAGGAGGAGAGGTTTTGGCTTATAGTTCCAATGGGTTTAGTCCATGGCTGGCTGGATCCAAAGCCAAAACAGCACGGTAGAAGGATGTGGTAGAGGAAAGCTGCTCATTGTCATGGCATCCAGGAAGCAGAGAAAGGAGAGGAGCCAAGGACAAGTATATACCCTGCAATGTCACAGCCCCAGTGACCCATCTCCAACCAGGCCCAACCTCCTAATAGCACATTCAGCTACTGAACATATCAATGGATAAATCCACTGATGAGTATAGCATCCTTACTATCTGATCATATTCCAAACACATTAGACTGGGAAATAGTTTAGATCTAAGCCATAACAGGGAGTCTTTTTTAAAAAATAAATTTTATTTTATTTTATCCTTTTCCCAACAGGTAGTCTTTGATGGGAAGGAACTATTTTGTGATATTCTGGTGAAGACAGGGCAGTGCTCCTTCCTGCCCAAACCCGAGATAATGGTGAAGTTTGCATTGTCTGGAGAGAGAGAGAGAGAGAGAGAGAGAGAGAGAGAGAGAGAGAGATCAGAGTGGGAGAACAGGAGGCTAGAGGACATCTAAAGCAGACACAGGAGTTCAGTTATTTCAGGCATATATGGGAGACTGTGTCACCCCTGGGGACTCCTTCATTATAGAGAAGGGGGTTGATATCCTAATAATTTGGAAGATATGGGTTCAGAGCCTTTGTAATTTGCAGTTTTATTTTAAATATAGCTTCTAGACACCTGAAAGCTCTGACATTCTAGTTCTTATTGGTACACGAGGCCTTGTATTGAATAAACTTTCAATCCTGAGCATCTTGCTCCACAGACTTGAGAAAAACAAAGGCAAAGTATTCCCCCAGGATATCCCCCCCCCCATTAAGTATATTGGTACATTTTAGGTATATAATACAGTTACATTCATCATTGGGATCTTGTACCTTTACATGATGCATCTTGGTTCTTATATTTTCCCCATTCTCCTGTCCTCCCTTCACCCCCTCCACCCTTCCCTACTCTCTCTTGCATTTTGAGGACAGGGTCTCAGTATGCAGCTCAGGCTGGTCTTGTACTCAGCAGGTACCCAAGGCTGGTTTTGAACTTGCAGTGACCCTCCTGCCTCAGCTTCCTGAGTGCTAGGATTACAGGCATGCATCACTATGCCTGCAGTCCCCAGCTGTTCTTTATATGAGCCTTTTTCCTAGTTTCCCTTAGGCTTCTGCTCATGAGCCTTGTTTTAGAGGCATACATTTAGAGACCTGCATTTCTTTCATTATTTTTCCATCTGTTTTTGTCACAAAGTGTACTTACATTTGAGAGGAAGGGAGAATTTCCAGCTGGATCTTATGTACTAACATGGATGAATATTTAACTGGATTTTCAATGAGGTGAGCTTTCAAGTACACATAATTTTCTTAGACTGGGCAGGGGTGCTATTTAACACATTGGCATAGCAGCTACAATCTCCTCACTATTGATTGCATCCATGGTCATACTTTGGAGAAAGATGGTATTCAATTCCTTAGAGCTTTTCTGGACTCATGGTGCTTTGCCTTTTCATTCTAACAGCTGCTGATTTGCATAACCTGTTGAAGACACCTCCTTACCATCACACTCATGGGCTTTCTCTAGCTTCTTGGACAATTTTTCTTGCTCCTGTAGATTTTATGATAAAGAGCAACTTTCACCGATGACAAAAATTTTTTGTCTGAAATCTTTCATTATCTTTTTTCAGAAACACAACAAAGCTGAACTTTATAGATTACTACTTTGGCATGGTAATGATTTTACTGGTCTCCAAGACATTCTTAAAATTCCTAGTTTCTTTAAGATCTTCCCTTGGGATGTACATGCTGTAGAACATCTATTAATTTCATTTATATCTGCTCAACATTTATAGAATACCTTTTATGTTGTAGGCATCATACTGCTTTAGCAGTATGGAACTATAAAGCTCATGCTTAGTTTTATACCTGGAACACTTGATTCACTGGTTCTAGTCCCATAACTAATTCTGCCAGGAACTGTAGGAACCTCCTCCTATGGATACCAAATACCATAAAGAAGGCAGTCAACAAGGTTATTAGGGTTATACAGTAACTGAAGGAGGGAGGGAGAGAGTGGGAGGGAGAGAGAATATGCAAAAACTTGGGAGAAAGGTTGGTATCCAAAGACATTAGGGAAAAATCATATTTTAAAGGTTGGGGTCTAGGAATATGGCACTAACATAAAAACCAAAAAACAAACCACCACTGTCAAGAAAAACAGGTATTTTTTCTGGCCTAATATAGGCTTTAAATTTTTTATATGTTATAAACAACAAAAACAGTTTAAACAAAATAGGAAATTACACATATTTCATTCTTTTAAATAAATACATTTATTACAGTACTATTGTTTTGCATTGACATAGCCTTATTTCCCCCTCCCATTCTGGAGATTAAACCCAGGGCCTTGAATATGCTAGGCAAGCACTCCACCATTTATAAATTGGATGCCCATCCTAATTTATAATCTTTAAGGGGGAATATCACATCTCTTAGTGAAGTTTTGGTAAAGAACTTGAAGTTTTTATATGTGTGTGTGTGGGGGGAGGTCACAAAGAAAAAGAAGTATTTATTTTCTTTGTGATGTATACCTCCAGACACAGCGCATTGCTTTGTTGAGAAAATCTTTTTTTTTTTCTCATTAAGTTTATTGGTACATTTTAGGTATGAGGAAATCTTGAAGACGTGATAATTTTAATTCTAAAGGAGCAAGGCTCTATCGATCGCTTTGCCCCTTACCAGCTTTAGAAGCACACCTTGGTCTCCTTGTCTTCTGAAAAATCGAAGAAAGGAGAAAAGAATGTTAAAGTGCGGGTTTCCCAGGGGCAAAGCTGTGCTGACGAGCCTTCTCTGCAGTCTGACTCGGGCGGCTGGAGGACACCTCCAGCAGGGCGGCCGCCGAACACGCAGTCGCGGCTCCCGAGCTCTGCAGGTGCAGGGACTGCGCTCCCGCGCCCTGCGGGTTCCTCACTCGGTTGCCAGAAGGCAGCAACCACGGTGGCGCGGGGTGCGGGCCTTGGCCCCCAAAACAGGTCAGACTACTCCAGGGCGCCGACAGGATGCAGTAGAGTCTCCACACCTGCGCTGGGGAGGGAAAACAGAGAGCAGCCGAGGGTTTGGGACGCTGGAGGGTAGGTCCGACTCGCCTCAGTTGGGACTGTTTCTCCTGATTGCCTCCCCAGGCCGCCCATCATCGCAGCCCCTATCTTTATTGGCTTTTCTGTCTGCCACTCAGTTCCGCCGCGCTGCTCCCTATTGGTCTCCTCGGGTCGAGGCCCCGCCCTGCGAGCCGGGCCGGGGCGACGAGGAGCTGGGCTGGAGAGCTAAAGCGAGCGCGAGAAAGCAAGAGAGCGCGGCGCCGGCGGCTCTGGAGAAGAAGGCGGAGGGGGAAGAACAGCAGGGGCAGCAGGCAGCGGCGGCGACCGCCCGGGGTGATGGTACAGGCTCCCCGGGCCGGCGCGGGGCTGCCGGGCTGAGGACGCCCGTTCGGGTCTGCAGCGCCGCCGCGTCGCTCCCGGGGCCGGCCCGGGCGAGCGGGCGGGAAGATGCTGAGCAGGCTGATGAGCGGCAGCAGCAGGAGCCTGGAGCGCGAGTACAGCTGCACCGTGCGGCTGCTGGACGACAGCGAGTACACCTGCACCTTCCAGGTTAGCAGCCCGCCCCGCCTGGCCCGCCGGTGGGCGCGCGCCCGCGGTTTCCTCCCGGCCGCCCCGTCGGGCGCGGCCACGCGGCGCTTAGTCTCGCGGCCGGGAGGACGGGGGTTTCTGTCACGGAGCCTCCCGGGCACTTGTGGGTCAGAGCTTCGCGAGGCAGGGCTCACCGCCCCTGCCTCAGTGGCCTATCGAGGGTCCGGCCCGCCGGCCCCGCCTTTGTGTCCCCGAGTCCGGTCGCGTGGGCAGTTCCGGGGGGCGCGAGGCAACAAGTCCGGGAGGCCTGGGGCTGGCGTGATCGGGGAGCAGGGCTGAGCTGAGAAACGCCGGCAGTGTGGTCGTGCTGCCCAGCATTTCTTTCGGGACCTGGGATTTTTGAAAGGGTTTTTGACCCTTGCTCAGACCCCTTGCACGGCGCCTGGGCGGCACGTCAGGAGTAGCTGTCCTCCCCGGGAACGCGGCCACAAAGTAGACTGGAACGGGACCGAGCCCCGTGCCGAGTCCGCCGCCGCCGGGAGCAGCCTGGGCTCGCTGCTCTTTGTGGAGAAACAGATTGAGCTGAACCCGGAGGGCTCTCACCTGATCCCATCCTTGCCTTTGCCGCAAGGAATCAGAGTAGGCTTCACGGCTCGGCTGTGACAGACAAAAACTGCCTTTCTGGGGCCGACCCTCGCCCCCTACCCCCGTTTGTTTGTTTGTTTCTTTATTTATTTTTGCTGACAGTGCTCATAGCGGAAAACAGTGGCGTGCGAGAAAGATGCTGGGTAGTATAGGACAGCAGCTGCGCTGCTGACTTCAGCGCCCCCCCTCCCCCCAACCCCACCAAACAGTTCTGGGCTTGAGAGCTACTGCTTCCAGAAATCCGTGAGGGTTGAGAAAGAGCACAAAATATCTTTTTAAGGGTACTTGAATAGATTGAACTGTCATAAAGAGGCTAGCCACCAAATGAAAGGATTTTTGTAGTTGAGTACGATAGAGAGATGTTATGTATTGTTCCCTGACTGAATGGGTGGCATGCTACTTTTTGTTTCAATTGTGTCATTGCGCCCTGTACATTGTTTTATTCATTTGTTTTGGTGGAGGAGGAGTTGACATCTTTGCCATTTGAGTACATTGTCAAGAGCTTTAAAAAATCTTTATTCTTTTATCTTAAAATTTAAAGCATTTACGTAATAACCTATCAAAGGTATCGTGAGATTCAGACTTCATTAGTCTTAAGAATACTTTAGAAGTATGTGGTGAAAAAAAATTCCTAGAGCAAGTCATTAACTTTTACCAAGATATAGTATACTGTACAAATGAAACACAGTTCACATTACTATTCCACTAGACATGATTGATAACTTTGTGTTTTTTTGGGGGGGGGTTGGTACCGGGGATCGAACTCGGGTCCTTGTGCTTGTGCAGCAAGAGATGAAACCACTGAGCTAAATCCCCGGCCCAACTTTGTGGTTTTAAGGTATTACAAGGCAGTAGTTATTTTTCCCAGTTAGTAGAATGTATGAGATTGTAATGTCATGATAATTTTTTTCATTTGCTATTGAGAAAAAAGTAAGTTAAGCGGGATTTACTGGGTATATGCTTGCTGTATCCTACTATGGTTGTGGTTATCGACCTGCTGCTCTTATTTTACATTATTATAATTTAATGTTATAAAACATTTAAGCATAAAGTCATATGGCCACACAACGGTAAGTATCCATGATTTAGACAATTGTGCATTGTGATTCTTGCTAAGAATCTAAAGAAATACAGGGATTCTAAAATATATATGTAGTGTTATTCTTAGGCACCACTATTTGAATTACTTTGGTTTTCACCCCTGTGAGAAAATACAATAATATGAAATTATTATTCTTTACATATGGCTTTATTTGAGCATTTAGAGATTGAGCTTTTCTGAACTTTTCCTCCTGTACATTTCTGTAGATGTGTGTGTGTGTACGTGAGCACGTGTGCATGTGCTTATTTGTCAAACACTGGGTACAGTCTTTTAAATTAGAATAGAAAGAATGTGTGAGCTACTTATTGGTTCAGTAATATTTCCAACATTTTAAGAATTGCGGTACTGTATTTTTAAAATTTTGTGGTGATGATTTGAACTTTTTTTCCTTAAAGTGTTGTATGCTATGTTTGTGCTCAAATAAAGTGTGTATTTTACAAAGATTTTCATGACTTTTGAGGTAGAGACCCATTTAGGGTATTACAGATTTAGAAATATGTCCCTGGGTTGGAATGATGATGGCCACACTTGGTAAATTTTAGTTGTAGGCAATTCTGTGGAAGTACTGTATTGGTCTAGACTTTCATGCTGGAGCAGATATACTGATCTAGCATTTAGGATACGATTATTAAGGTGGTCAAATCCCCTGTATCTTTTCAGTGATGGTTGCCACAGTTACCAAATCAGCTTTTCATTTTTTCTGATATGCAGATGTATTTGTAGACCATGAAAAATCAAAGTATACATAGGAGGGTTGTAGTATAATTGCTTCCCTGTGAAGAACATTGTTCATAGCTCCCTGACAGTTTTGAAGGTCATTGCTTCATAAATGCAGATCTGGTCCCTATTTTTCACTCATTTGTTTTATTTATGCATATCTACTTTTTAAACTACATTTACTACCTTTATTATTTTGTTTAGGAGAAAATAGGAAAAATTAGAAAAGCAAAAGCTACTTAATCTTTGAACTCAGACTGAATGGAATCATTTAAATGCCTAGGCATGTAATATCCCAAGGAATATATTTTTAATGTTTAAAAGTTTATAAATT